ACGCGGATTCCACCGGGAAGGGGAAGGCGAGAGGAGTGGGTGCCGGGAGGGGAGCTGAGGCTGGGGGAAGCAGAGGGCTTTAGGGATCGAAGGCAGCGGGAGCTGCGACAGACAGGAGGGTGCAGCCCGGCCTGGGAGCGGGCTGACCGCGGGGAGAAGGCCGGGGAGGGTGCGAGGAGCGGCACAGTCCATTTCCTCGTCCCGTAGCAGAACGGCTCGCCCGGAGACCGCCAGGTTCTGCTCCTCGTAAGCGGCTGCTGTTAATTGTACCCCTCTGCGCAGGGGCTTTTGATACCCGTAAATGTAAGGTTTTCACTTACTAGAGTGATTGTAATTCAACTAAAGTAGATCCTTGCTGTTCTGAGAAGACAGGAAAGCTCTAAGATAAAGAGGCTCCTCAGTAACGCTACTCAGACAAACCTGCCTTGCTGTTTCGGGGGGGACAGGAAAGCTCTAAGGCAGAGACTCCTAAATACTGTTATTTGGCCAGCTCGGCCTCTGGAGAGCAGATGCGCCAAGCCACAGAGAGAAAGAGGCACCAAGAGGGCAACGAGACCAGAGCAGAACAACCTGGAAGGACACGGTATGCGTGATCTTAGAACCGGGTTTGCACAGAAACAAAGGTCAACCAGCAGACACCGTGATGAGGAGTATGAGCCTTTGTCTTGAGACCCCCAAAGACCACCTGAGGATGCTAACAGACATGTGTGAAAGACATTAACATATGCTAATTAATTCTTGGAAAAGTCATGAATATGCTAAGCACTTCTCAGAAATACAATGAATATGTATTTACCCTGAAACGACTGGGTGTTTGGCACACACAGTCGGAGGAGAGATCCCCCCAGGGTGAGCCAAGCGGGGCTGGAAGGTGTGGGGTTATGCTGAACCCCTGTTTCGTGTTTCCCCAGGGAAGGGGGCACGGCAGCAAGCCCCCCGCTCGTCCTTGGGTGCAATTTCTGCTGTCGCTGTGCCTTCTTCCCACCAGCGACAGAAGCCATCCAGCCCTAACATCTTTCCCACCAGTGCTGCCGTTCTGTCCCTTGCTGCTGCTCTCCCATGCCCCCTCCGCTCTGCAGGTATCAGACATGGCCGGGTGCTGTCAGAACCACCGCGCATCCGTAAAGTGGGTGCCTAATTCCTAGGTCTCCGTTCGGAAGGCGCATCCCAACAGCTCTGTGAGGAACGCTGAGAAAACACACCAAATTTGGGAACGGACGCTGGGATAAAGAGTGAGTCGACTCCCCTGTTACAGATGTGCCACGGAAGCACATTGCGGACTAACACGGCAAGATAAAAACCGCCAGGCAGGACTCTCCTGTGAAGCGCTTCAGGTCTCGTTTATCAGGTCAAATCAGCACCCGTTAGTACCGGCGATGAGGCAGCTGCCCAGCACAATTCGCTTTAGCTTTATTCACCGCCAAGAACAACCTGCTTTTCAACCTCAGTGTAAAAAATGCCTTGCTGCACCACAGGACGGGTTGTACATCTGAAGGCGACCACCCGTTCATGGCAGGTCCCTGCCTTGCTCGTACGTACACTGGGTGACGGGGGATGCAGTAAGAGGCGTCACATCAAGACAATTTTTAAGTCAATATTTTTTTAAGTTCCTCTTGTCCAGAGTCACAACAATCAGAACTGGAGCTTGAGCGCAGGAGGAAGCTCACGGGACTGTTGACAGTACCTTCTTGAGTGTTTTGAATATTGTTGTGCTCACAGCCCTACGGCAAGCGAGGATTTTATTCGGAAATGGCACAACTTTTATATCCATTTCCTGTCATAAACAAGTCCGTAAGAAGCATTCCATAGAATCACATTTTCTTATGCAAACATACTAAAAGCAGGAAAACAGGATGAGTATATAAAGTGACAGGAAATGGTTCATGAAACAGTAATTAGCCTAAATAGCATTAAAGGGCTATAGGTGATTCAGTTAGGTACAACCTGCAGGCAAGCCAGCGAACATCACTCGTGCCACCAAGGACAAAACTGAGTCAAAATTAGGGCAGGTCCTTTGACACAGGGCAGAAAAATTTCACCAGCAGAGGACACCAATGCACAGATATTTTTAATCCAATACGACCAATAAAAACTGAGCAAAGAGACAACACTCTCTGCACAGCAGTGCCAAAAACACAGCTCAGGAATCGCACGGTTGTGGCCTCCCGAGCGCCTACCCAAGCTCACGCTCTCTCCCCCGGGGTCGCTGATCCACGTGGCCACAAACCGGGACCTCTCCGACGCACAACACGCTCCGCTTCCCCTTCCCTCCAGCCAGTTGTCCTCGCTGCTGATGCGCACCTGTAGCAAAACCACCACACCTCTCACCCAGCTCCGAGTTTCCAGCACATACAGCCGAAAGGCACGCAAAAGTCACCCCCCCTTGCCAGAAGACAGAGCAAACAGACATGGAGGCATGGTTTCATCCCACCTAGTTTTAAACTTCTCAGCTTAGGAGTGTAGTTGCCCCCCTGGGTGTCTGTTCCAGCTTCCCAACATCTGGAAGCCAGTTTCATACTGTTGTGATGATTAAGAATCTGTAAATTTTAAGACATATCCATTTTGGACATGGGAACTGACAGACTAGATTTCAAACTTCTAAAGCATTGTAAAAATGGCAGGTCTGTCTTCTTTTTCCCAGATCTTTTCTTTTTAAGAGCGTTAACTTACTAACAAAGAGGTATGTGAAATGCAATAGAAAATTCTTCTGGTTTTAAACATAAAGTAGCCTTGCAGTTCACCAGCCCACTTCCAGACGTTCTTGCACTTCAGCTATGAGTCTCGCTTCTGCAACTAAATGATCTTCAGGCTTCTAAACTTTGGGGACACCCAAAAGCCCACCAAACACTGCTGCATGCCATGTCAGCAGAAACACAGCAGGAACGTCCAGCCACTTGTACGAAGTTCGCTTACAAGAAACCACCTATGACTTCTCAGCAAAGAAGAACAAGCTCTTCTCACCTCATCCCCCCCATCAGCGAGTTCATGAGATTAGAGTCTTCCTGAACTCCCTGCCCTCCTAAATTGCAGTTGGTTCCTCTCTTTCCATTGGAGGGAGAGGCTGGTACATGGTAGCACAGACAGCCTGAGCATTCAGGTGCGCTTGAGGCTACAGACTTGGTATTCTGTGTCTTCTACCGGTAAAGCTGAGCTAGTCCAGCTTTCTGGGATTAGTCACCCTTCCTTTTCTACCTTCCTTCCTTCCACAGGATTCTTACTGAGAAACCATCTGTATTTTGCCCCTCCAATAAAAACATAGAAAGAAATTAGAGACTGAGGGATTTTGTTCAGGCATTTGTTTTTCAGACGAGATGAATATTCACAAAACCACCTAACAAGGGCATTCCTGAGTGCCTGAGCTTGTCCTGTGAACGCCAAGCAGAAGAAGATGGTCCCACCAAGACACGAACCTTGCTTTTAATTTCCAGATCTCTCCCATGGACTCTGTGAGACCCTGCATGACCCTAAGTCATGCTTCAGTTCACACCTGAAGCCCTCTGATGACTGAAACCAACAGGGATGCTCCTAGGATAAAAGAGTTGATAATAATCGGACACTCAACATTAATAATCTCATTCTTTTCTTTGTGCTGTAGGGTAATGGCTCTAGGGTAGTGCGTATTACTAAAGCAAGAGCAGACTTCCTATCCAGAGCACTCAAAATTGGTGATACTTACAATCCCTCTAATCAAAGCACTGCATTCAAGTACACCAATATTATATTAGATAATTCCTCTGAGTCTGTCACTGTCCAGCAAAACAGAGTTTAGAGACCACAGAAATAAATAAAGTACTAACTTTATTACTTAGTGGTAGTGTCTGGCTATCACAGTGAACAAAGCTGCAGTCTGTTAATGTCACGGGGTCTGCTCCTGAACAGGAATTGCTCAGTGATATTATCAGCCATTGTAAAACGTCGTGGCCATGATGTTAATCATTAACATAGGTCCCCATCTCATAAAAACATCGTATGGTAAGAGCACAACATGCTTAAAGCTGTCACTAATCCATCAGGCATAAAACAGGAATAAAGCAACACATAAAAGGAGCCAGAAACTCGGCAAATCCTTCAGCTAAGGGAAGACAAACTGCACTGCGGTTTATCTCCATGGAGAAATCCGCTGACAAGCTAAACAATGAAAATGCATCGACAGCTCTTGGAGTACCACAGGCTGAAAAGGACGGTCCTGCGCCCATTGCAGAAGGTGCTGCAGAAATGAGCAGAGCAGGACCCCTGACGGAAACCGCTGCAGACGTGAAGAGGCTGGAATGCACTGAAGAACGTATTACAGAAATGGAAAGACCTTCAGGCACAGCCCGACACAGTCCTGATGCCTTTAATCCAGCAATTTTGGAAAGAGACTGTCCAAACTCGAAGCATCTTGTTATGCTAACGACCTCAAACTCTCCCCAAGTATGCAGTTTTGAAATGAACCACCAGTGTTCAACCACAGCATCTATTGATACGGACTGCCTAGTCTGCTTCAACAAGTACAACATCTACAGAGTGCCAAAGCTCCTGGACTGCCAGCACGCCTTCTGCGCAGTCTGCCTCAAGCTTATCCTCAGGAAAGAAGAGAGTACCTGGATAATCACCTGCCCCCTGTGCAGAAAAGCCACTTGTGTGTCAGGAGGACTCATCCGCACACTTCAAAATAAAGAAGACATCATGGAGCACTTGGAAAACCCCGATGCAAATCCTGAGGTACACGTCTCTGCCGCAGGGCTGGACAGCAACAGCTGGACTCAGAGCAGCCAAGGCGCCTTATACAGAGACGAAAATGTTCCAGCAGACAACAGACTGGCTATCCAGAGACTTGTGCTGCTCCTGCTGCTCGTGGTGATTCTCACTATCCTCATCCTCCCGTTTATATACTCTGGGCTGATAAAATGGGTAATTTGTCTCATGCTTGTTTTGGGGTTGGTCATGTCTATGGTGCTTTGCTGCACTCCTAAATTTTACTGGAGGTGTAACAGGGACTCGCTCACCTCCTGCCACAAGGAGACCCACATCACTGCTATTGCCTGAAACAATCAATTAATGCAAGCTGCCTAGAGACAGTGGACTGGTCCTGCCTGCAAAGCTGCCTGTTAGGCGCACTAGTCAGTTAGTGGACTTTGAAAGCAATCGTTCACATAATAAATTCAACAGTGGCTAAGTTATCCCACTAAGACTCAATGGCAATGCACAGTGGTGTTAAATTTCATTACTGGAAACGTAGTAAAATATTTATATGTCGATATTTATGAGATAAAAATTGTAGGTTTTCCACACAATTTTTATCCCAGACTAATCACTTTGTTGTTTTGCTTTTGTCATTTTGTTCTTGTTCCTGCCATCTCCTGATTAGCACCGCAGAACGTTATCTGAAACACCTGACAGATGATGTCCTGTGAAAATCCTGTGGCTGCGTTTTCCCACTCTCTTAACACACGTACACTTTTTCTTGTGACAGTGTGGGTAAATAAGATTGCTAAATCAGGGACTGGGTGCGTAGCCTCAATGGAAGAGAGTAGTTTTAAGCCAGATGATCACTTTAATCCCTATCACTGCCCAGATGGTTGTTGGCAGGGATGGGAAAGGGACTGGGAAAAGGGTATGTCAATTGGTGCCATCTGACGTTACACACGAAATTAGAGAGGAAGAGGAAAAATTAACACTCTTCATCTTGAGTCTGTGGCTTGCAAAGGGCAAGGCCCTCAAAAGCTCATGACATTCCAAATCCCCCATGTTATTTAGCACAGAAATAGTTCCTCTCACCTGAACTCCTTTATCTGGCTTACCTGTACCACCTCTCTTCTTGCCCTCTTTACAGGAAGTGTGACAGCGCCCTTGGAGATGCCCACAGAGATAAACAGAAATCTGTCAATTGCTATGCCATAGCACATGTGATATTTTTATACGGAATGTGTCCATTAAAGTTTAATACTGTTAATTGCTCATTGACTTCTGTGTTTCAATCCCTCACTGACAATTAATGTCAAAACATTTCACAGTTTCCTCACTGACAGGAACTACAGCTGAGAAAGCATATTAAGAAATCTGTACAACTGAGTTCATGAGTAAAACAAAGAAGTAATGTGTTGGGTTTTCTCCTTTATTTTAAAAAATACTTAGTTGCTAAGAAAATACCCCATAACCCGACTAAAATTAAATTGGAAAAAAATTAGGAGTTTGCTCTAGTTAAGTTACATTTTTAAGAGTACCATGGATCTCAGAAGACCTTGAATCAGGCCTGTGGTAAATATTTGTGTTCGATAAGAATGGAAACTGATGTACTCCAGTTGCTCAGTATATAAATATACATAGTGTCTCACCAGCAGATAAACCAGATTAGACTAAGAGGGTAAGGTGCTGCTGTCCTGCTAGAGTCTTCGAAAAAACAGGTCTATTTTCTGCCTAAGAACATGAACCTTCAAGGGAAATAAATGCTTTGGTTTTTTCTCATATATTTGAACAGCAACTGACTTACTGCAGAGTACGTATGTTGTAACATTTGCTAATAACCATCCAGAAAAAAGCTTTTCAATTGGGAAAAGGCAGGTAGTTTTAAACCCAAGTATTTTATTGTATTATTCCAAATACAATGACTGGACCAGATATTCACCTGTACTGAAAATAATTTCAGAAACTCTTGCCAAGTCTTTCAGTTCATCGACAATTTTCCCGCAGAGTTCCCTTCACCAACACTATTGGGTGACTGGTACTGTAAAGGTCTGTAACAAACATATTAATATTGACCTGAATGTGGCATGCATGGATGCATCAGAGTAAGCTAGAAGGGTTAAAGGAAAACCATGTGCTAATTACTACAGAACACTGATCTCATTCAAACAACAGGCTGTCCTAAAGATAAGATGACAAAGATGAACTGAATTAGAGCCATAAAATAATCCCAATTCTACCAAAAAAAAAAAAGATAAAACTTGTGGAATTCTGCCTAAGAGGGGAAGAGATCAAGCAAGATACCCAACAACACCAACTCCAGAAGGGTGTACAAGTCGCACCCAGTATCGGTTTGCCATCATCAGTCAAGAAACATAACGCAGATTATAGAGGCAGCGTCCCTTGTCCTCCGTATCACTCACAACGGAGCCTGGCCAGCCCATGCGGGCTTGTCAGCACATGGACAAATGACATCAGAGAGTGAATATGAACTGGAAAAATCAGATTTCTACATATCACCCTGCCCTTCCAAAAGGGTGTGTTCAATTTTATTACGCTAATTTCTACAGTGTCAAAAAAACAGCCAACAGAAAAGGGCTTCCCTCAGGGCAGTACACATCAGTGAGAAGGAAGCAGGTGTGCTGTATGATGACCAGTAATAGACTGGCCCCTCTGAAAGAACCCCCATGGATCCATACAGTAAGATCAGCAGCCGTGGAAGTCCAGGTTTCCACCCCCCCTGCTTTGTGTCAGCACCTTCCAAGCCTGCATTCAACAATTCAACTGAAATGTTTCTTCAGCCTTTGAGAGCCACTAACAATCAGCTGATTCAGAGTTCATGGACGCCGGTGGGAGTTGTTAGGCCCTAGCACCTTGTATCTTTATAACAGCGGTTGATTCTCATCTGACAAGACTTGATGACAATGTAAATCTTTGAAGTGGCAACTAAGTTTATGGAGAAAAGGCCAACAAAATTGTATTCCTATTCTAAAACGTCAAGGATTTGCTTGTACTCAGTTCTAATTCAGGCCAGTCTTTTTGGCAAGAAAGTTTCAGCTCCGAATTACCTTGCCCTGCTTGCCTTAACTAGCTAGTTCCAAATTTCAGATAGTGCTTAGGTAACACACTGTAGCCTGAAAGAGAGAGGTTCATAGTGAGATATGGGCCCAGGCAGTAATGTTCAGCTGTACCTGACAAACCGCATAAATACCTGAGAACGGTGATTTACAAAGACTGAATCCCACCGAGGTGTTAAGAGCATGGTAAGACCCAACAGCGGTATTTAAGGATTATAGTCTGCATAGACAGAATCCTGGACCACAAACTTCAAAGGTGTTTTGTTTAACAATGCATCTACACAAGCCAGTTTTAATTAAAAAATACTCCTGTCCTTTTGTCATGCTGTGCTCCCACTCTGCCCCTCTGCCCACAGGGCCCTTCCCAAAGCCACAGCTTTCCCTATCCCAATGCCTTTTCAGGCTGCTCGTCAATCAACAGCACCCACCATCGCCCACCGCAGTCATTACTTATATAAGAGAGCGAGACAGGTACCTGAGAAATTTTTAGTGTAGGTGTTCCAAATTACTGTTAAATGTACAAGTCTCACTTTAACTACAGAACTTTAAATTATCCATAACTGAGCTGACTTTGATTATTATTAAAATATATAACAAGGTCCCAAGTTTACAACATCTGGTAAAACTCACTCCTAACTGTCATCTCACTCCACTGATGTTTCGGACCACTTTTAACAGCTCTTCTGCATTATCACACAGATATAAACAGGTGAAAATAAACATGGAACAAATACCACATTTCACACTTCCACGTTGCTCAGATTCTGTACAGAGAGAACTTTCGGTCCTCAAACACAGAACTGTCAAATCTACAAGAAACTAATTTGCAGATTGTGTCTGAGAGCACAGTTTGTGTGCGAGTGATTCCTTGCTTGCCGTGAACCATCTGCAACTTGTCCATTGTGTTGTGCAGTTACCTAAGTGACAGGTAAAGCAGATACCTTCTGCACCCTAACTGGGATCAACACAACTCGCCTTCTGAACTTCTGTGACACATTTAGTGACTACATGATGATGCTTAAAATACCTGTATGAGACATGAGTACTCATGTGAGTAAACTTGAGAGGGTCTAACATTAGTAGCAATCAGTCAGGACAAGATACTCGGCCAAATCAAAATCGGCTTTTAAAAAGAAATGGTACCTAGATTTTTTTTTTTTAATTTCTTTATAAAGAAGTCCCACATAACACATTTTAAAGTATAAATCAGTTACCCCAGCTACAAAGCACCAAGACTAATTTTGCTGTCGTGAAAACACGATCATACAGAAAAACTGCTCTCTCTCCCCTGAAAAAAAAATGGACTTAAAAAATTACTATGCGTTGGATTCAGGATTCCAGCCGGACACTGGTCCCAGAAGAAATGTGTTTCTTAAAGCCCTCAAAACACAACGCAAAAGCCTTATTCTTGGCTAGCGGAACTAACTCCAAAGGCTTGGGACTTCTGCAAGGCCAGTTACTCATAGTGGAGCAAAGCATCCCGAGCCGACTGTGCCAGTGGTCCCTGCTATCAGATGCAACTCATACACGGCCCTTGTATTGGCCTGACGAGTGCATATCTATACACAGACATGCACATACTTCAGCTTCTGTGTTCATATGGCTTCGGGATCGCACCCGGTAACACAGCCCGAAGTGCGAGACACCACGGAAGCTTTGATTTTCCTCAGGGTAACCCTCAGAGACACCGACCTGTCCTGCATGGAGGTGGCAAAGAAGTCTTGGGGCAGCAATCTGAGAGCAGCTTCACCCAACACAGATCGCTACCTCTCTGTGTAGCTCTGGCTTGGAGAGGGAGCAGTTCTCACAGGGGAAGACGGGCTTTAAAGGGAGCAAAAGGGCCGGTATCCAGGTAGGCCTGAACTTCAGTAAGGCACCAACGCGGCAGACAAGGCCCGAGATGGCAGATAAAGGTGGGCGGCAAGGATGGAGCAGCCA